AGAAGGTTCCCTGCTGAGCAGGGAGCCGGACGCGGGGCTCAATCCCAGGACCCTGGGATCATGATCTGAGCCGAAGGCAGCCGCCTAACCAACTGAGCCACCCAGGCGCCCCTCACTAACGCTGTATTTTGTAATGACCAGGGGTAGTAGTCCCTGGTAACACCATGTGCTGGTGCTAAGATAGGGCCTTTTTCCTGTATTTCAAACCAGTTTGAGAGTGAACCAAATTAGGATGGCACAGTCATTACTTACTCTGTTTTATTTCTGAGACACTATCTACCACCCTCTATCTGCTTGTCAAATAGCAATTCATTGGTTCTCAGAGGATATTTTATGAGCCTACTTAACATTTGGAACATCACACACTTTCATTATATCCTATGAGTCTTTCATTATTCTGTGAGACTGAGTCAGAGCTTTTCCAGACCATTTCAGTGGTGCCCATGCAAAGAGCCTACGAATCCTTGCTACCTCAATTCCTAACCATGGTACTTCTCTTCTGTCCACTGTCTTCATTCTCTGTCTTCTGTTCCTAAAAAAAGATAAAGCAACACAAGGATATAATGACTTGAAATAATGAATAAAACATTAATTTAGAAGCTATAATTGGTTAATTTTGCTGCACATTCTTGGAATAGTACTACATCTCATTTCTGGTTGATTTTATCAGATGTCTCCATACATTGGTTCCAGCAGTTGAATACTGTTTAAGTCCCTCAGTTATCAAGCAGATAACCTTACCTTTGAATGTCCAAGAATATCACAGGCATTCAAATTATTCCCCGAGCCTTTTGGAGCACATTAGTCACCAAACTTTTCTGCTTATGAATCTTTTCATAGCTTTCCTTTTGTCAGAAGAAAAGTTGTGTGTGCATTTTCCTTATCAATAAAGTTCTTTGATCAATAACCTTCATTACTCTGTTTAATATCTTCATTTTCTTTCTCCTGTTATTTACTGTTTTTCCTGTTTTAAAATAGGATGTTTCTTTTCCTTAAAATCATTATCTCAGATCTGTGACTTTTTTCAACTCTTTTTCTTTTTCTCTCTTTTACTTACCACAAAACTTCTCAGACTAGTAGGCTATATTTTCAGCTTTTATCTTCCTGTTTTTCATGTAATTATTAAACCCTTCTGATCTGACTTTCATTACCATCCATAAACTAAAACTATTTCCTAGTGACCAAGATTCCTCAGTGATCAGGTTGACTCCCCTAATCAGCATCCTTTCTCCTAGACCGATCTATAACATGTTGGTCATGCCCTCTATTTTTCAATGCCTTTATTGACATCTATAACCGTGGGACATTTTGCTATGCCTTCTTTCCTAATTTTTCACCACCTACTCTCTTTCTGATCCTACTTGTTTCTCTCACTGATCCAATCTACAAATATGTATTTACTTGATGAGAATAATGGCAGAAACAAAATTATATCAGAATTTGTAAGCTACCTTTAAGATGTTGGTCTTTATCCTGTGTCAAAGGAGGAACAACTGTAATGATCTTAAGCAGAAAATGGCATGGAAAGGCATGTGTTTTCACTTGTGTGTTATGTTGCAAATGATTTAGGGTGGAGAGGGAATGAGAGGGTTGTAGTGAGATCAGTTAGGGAGTGGATGTAATAGGCCAAGAAAGAAATTATTTTAAAAGGTCAAGAAAGAAAGAGAGTGGCAATAAAGACAGAAAAATAGGCATAAAGTATAAAATAGTATAGTTGATAACGGTGGATTTGGCTATGTAAAAGAAAATTTACAATGACACAGATACTGATATTTTTGTTGTTTGTTTGTTTGTTTTAAAGATTTTTTTTATTTGACAGAGAGAGACACAGCGAGAGAGGGAACACAAGCGGGGGGAGTGGGAGAGGGAGAAACAGGCTTCCCGCAGAGCAGGGAGCCTGATGTGGGGCTCGATCCCAGGACCCTGGGACCATGACCTGAGCCGAAGGCAGACGCTTAACGACTGAGCCACCCAGGCACCCCTGTTGTTTGTTTTTTTATTTTTGGCCTTTTCAGTTAAATATTTGACATGAGCTGAGTGAGAAACAACAAAGAGAATCATGTTTGAGTTTAAATTTTAAGCCTGGGCTTTGTTCTCTTGAGTTTGAGTTGCTGTTGAAAGATCCAAGTAGAAATATCAAGTAGGCAGTTGAATATATGGTTGGCTATATAAATGTTTGAGTCATTGTTTTATAAGAGTAACTGAAACCCAGGCAATGCATGGGTTTAATCATGCAGAGAGGGTATAGTGTGAAAAGAGAAGTGTGACTGTGGTTGACACTTGAGGGTCTCTTAATTTAATGGCAAGATGGAGGAAAAGGGACCTTCGAACATGACTAAGAAGAAAAAGCCAGGAAAGAAGAAACCCCCAAGTAGAGGGGAAGAGACAAAAATGTGTTCATTCTGGGACTGAAAATAAGGCTTTTAAAAAAGGTAGAAATGGGCAACAATCTCAGATATCATTGAGAATCCAAGTAAAATGAAGTCTAAAAAATAAACACTGAATTGTGTAGCATGGTTGCCTTTAGGATATAACAAAGGGTTTCAATAGAACAATTGATGTTGAATACCCAATTGAAATGGATTGAGAAGAAAGTGAGAAGTTAGGAAATGGTGATGAGTATATGTAATTCTTTAAGAAATGTGATTCTTCGGGCGCCTGGGTGGCTTAGTTGGTTAAGCAACTGCCTTCGGCTCAGGTCATGATCCTGGAGTCCCGGGATCGAGTCCCACATCGGGCTCCCTGCTCAGC